GGCGGGCCGACCCGGCCTGGACCACTCGGATTGACGCCTCTATTCTGGTGTATTGACAATTCTCACAAACCCGAATACAATAATTAAAAAAAAAAACAAGAAAAGAGAAAACCACTCCCACAGACTTAGAATTAATTAACATAACAAAATAAAAATAAAAAATAGGCATATAACTAATAAAAATTCACTATAGCCCTCTTTTAAATTTGACCTCTAGTTGATTTAAGATGGGAAAGAAATGGATCAAGTAACCCTATTGCTAATTTCTAATTCTGTTTACCAGCAAAGATCACAAGATTACACCTATTTTTTGCCAAAGTTATTAATGAATATCAATGTCAAATTCAAATTCAAATTCAAATTAAATTATATGTATGCAATGGGAATGGAGATTCACAGATTGTACTCGGTTCTCATTGCAGTCCGTTGAAATAGAGCATATTAAAGACGAGTTCTTGACTCCATAATTTCATAGAAATGCAAAAGCCCACAAAATGCACACAAAGAGAAAATTATATATCCCGATTCTAAATTCTATAATCTGAAGAATTTGATGAAATTATTTTTGAGATCTCTGTTTATTTCAGTCCAACATTAAATCCATTTCCATTTCCACAGAAAATAAAAAACGCAGCAATAACTGAATTCTGACATTCACGTACAAAATTCAATTAACCACTCTGTATAACAAGAAATTCAGTATCTTTAGAGAAAATCGACCAATAAATTTCTGAAAATTGGACGTCAATTTCACGTTCGGTGGTGCTTTTTGGTCAAAAATAGGATTCACAAGAAGAAAGATGAAAGAGAGGGGAGACATAAAGGTTGAGGTAAGGATGGAAACATGGCGGGGTCAGGGCAACCATCCCCGCCTAGCTGGATAATTTCCCACTATGTACTCGTCCCGTTACCCGTTTAAGGTGGGACGGGTAGGACGGGAGACAGGATGGGACAGGGCAGGTTTACTACTCGTTTAATTTTATTTAATTAATTTATTATTTTTTAAGTTTTTGATAATTCATTTTATTGCCCAATTCATTAAAATGAGATAATAATATATTTTTTAATTTATTTTTAAAAGTTAAATTATTCAAATATATTTGATAAACTAAGGCTTTTATCATAATTAAATATATATTTTAGATAATCTTAGTTGTTATCTTCTATGAGAACGAATGAAATTCCGTGGAGTTTTTCATTTAAAGTATTAAATTCTTAAAAAAAATTATAAATTAAATGGGACGGGGTGGGGTACTTGTTAACCGTACTCACCTCATACCCATCCCGATCCTGACCCCGACCTCGATTCCAATACTCAATTAAGAGGGTAATTCCCGCCCCATTCAAGTCAGAGCTCATGGGTATCAGGTTTGAAGGGTTTTTTTTTTTTTTTTTGCCATCCTTAAGCTGAGGCAGTGAGATATTAGGGCGGAGTCACGATAGAGAAGAGTGAAATCTGTGGTTTGAACTTTGAAATTGAAATCGTCATCTCTCTTACCTTTTTGGGTTTCTGAATTGAAAAGTCCACAATAAAAAAGAAATAAAAATGAATGATAGTGATTTGGGTTGGGCCCAAAGTTCAGTGCAAGCGTGTGCTTACACAGGTTTTTATTGGACTCCGCCCCTGTTCTTACCACTTAAATAAGACCTTGACCTTAAATTACTTAAGTCCTTAAAAACCCCCCACATCACACCTTAATATTAATTCTCTCCCCTCTATTTTATTGCATTCTTATGAAAGTACCATAATCATTAATGAGTGATACAAAAATTTAATGCCCTTAGTAATCATTAATATAATATGATCGAGAAAGTTCAAGTATCAATACTTTGAAAAAATATAAACCTCGTATTGAGGCGCTGTGTGGGCTAGAATACTGTGATTTGCTGTAAGTTGTTGTCACTCCACTTGTTTATTAAGTACTGGAAGAAATTAAGGAAGAACATATCTTAATCATGTCTTCTCCAGAAAGCTTTAATGACCTTTGTATGAGTTATATTTTATATTAATCATGTTCTTCTAAGTTCTTCCAGTTTTTACTTAATTTTAGAAGATACAAAATAATTGTAGATTTGAGTATATGGAGTAAGATAATAACATGGCTCTGATACCAAACAAGCGGAGTGACAGCAACCTACAGCAAATTACAGTATTCACATGGCCTCAATAGGCTTCAACAAAGGGCCTGACTTTCGGACTTGATATGAATCACTGTAACCCCAGACGGATCATACAGTCAGTAGAGCACTTTCTGATGCAGAGATTCACCATGAAGGTGCAATTGCATAGCATACTTATGTTTCTATTCAAATCTTACTCCATATCACTCAAAT